TAAATATATCAATACTTCATTTAAATGTAAATGGTCTTAAAAGCATCAGTTAAGAGATATAAATTGTAAAATTGGATTAAAATGAAAACTAAGCCCAACTATATGTTATCTGCGAGAAGGTCACAGGAAATATAATAATCTATATATATCAAAACAGAAAAGATAAACAATACTAACATTATTAAAAAAAATGTTTACTACACAGCAGTTGACTTCAGATCAAGAAAAATTACTGTAATTTTAAAAAAGCAATATATTAAAACAATAATATACTGCAAATAAAGCTTATCCCAAGCAGTGCAAGATTGGTTCAACAGTTAAAAATTAATTAATGTGATTCAGCATATTAATAGGCTTAAAAAGAAAACCCATACAATCATATCAATAGAGGCAGAAAAAGCATTTGACAAAATTTAACATTCATTCAAGATAAGAAAAAACCTAGCAAATCAGGAATAGTAGGAAATTTCTTCATTTGATAAAGGTCATCTTTAGAAACACCTACAGATAACATCACTCTTAATGGTAAGAGAGTGAATGCTTTTAGCTTAAAATCAGGAAAAAGACAAGGATAACTGTCACCATTACTCTTACTCAATGTTATACTGGAGGTTCGAGCCAGTTCAAGAAGGCAAGAGAAAGAAAGAAAACACATTCAGGTTGAAAAGAAGGCAATAAAACTATCTCTAATGAGAGACAACGTGTTTGTCTACACAGGAAATACCAAGGAATCTATACATACACACAGACAATTTTTAGAATTAATAAGCAAACTTAATAAGATCATAAGATACATATCAGTTCATAAAAGTCAACACTATTTTTATATCCACTGTCCTGTGCTATCCTTAGTCCTCAGTCGTGTCTGACTCTTTGCGACCCTGTGGACTGTAGCCCACCAGGCTCCTCTGTCCATGGGGATTCTCCAGGCAAGAACACTGGAGTGGCTTGCCATGCCCTCCTCCAGGGGATCTTCCTAACCTACGGATTGAACCGAGGTCTCCTTCACTGCAGGCAGATTCTTTACCAGCTAAGCTACCAGGGAAGCCCAAGAAAATTTGGAAACCAAATTTTTTTTTAAATTTCTATTTATAGTAGCCCTAAAAAATAAATATTTAGATATAAATTAAGAAAATATTCTACATACTTAAACACAAAATGTTAATGAAACATCAAAAAAAAAGACTAAATAGAGAGGTGTATGAAATTCATGGATTAGACAATTCAATATAGTCCAGATAACAATTTTTCTACAGATCTAACACAATTGCAATCGAAAATCCATGCAGGATTAATTTTAACTATAGAAAAGCTCATTCTAAAATATATATGGAAAAGTAAAGGAACAGATATTCACAATAATTTTGAAAAAGTGGAGCAATTTTGAAAAAAGGCTCCTCTGTCCATGGGGATTCTCCAGGCAAGAACACTGGAGTGGCTTGCCATGCCCTCCTCCAGGGGATCTTCCTAACCTATGGATTGAACCGAGGTCTCCTTCACTGCAGGCAGATTCTTTACCAGCTGAGCTACCAGGGAAGCCCAAGAAAATTTGGAAACCAAATTTTTTTTTTAAAATTTCTATTTATAGTAGCCCAAAAAACTAAATATTTAGATATAAATTAAGAAAATATTCTACATACTTAAACACAAAATGCTAATGAAACATCAAAAAAAAGACTAAATAGAGAGGTGTATGAACTTCATGGATTAGACAATTCAATATAGTCCAGATTATCAATTTTTCTACAGATCTAACACAATTGCAATCGAAAATCCATGCAGGATTAATTTTAACTATAGAAAAGCTCATTCTAAAATATATATGGAAAAGTAAAGGAACAGATATTCACAATAATTTTGAAAAAGTGGAGCAATTTTGAAAATTGTGGACACTATTCAATTCTTAGACATTATATAATGCAATAGTATCAAGTCAGAGAAGTATTGGTGAAAAGATAAGCACAGAGATTTAAAAAAAAAAAAAATGGAAGACACTCTGGAAAAAGAGCCATTCAAATATTGTCAGCTAATCTTCTACAAAGGTGCAAAGGCAATTCAATGGGGAAAGTCGTCTTTGCAACAAATGACACGTGGAGTAATTAACACCCATATTAAAAAAATCTTCAACCTATACCTTGCACCATAGACAAAAAAAATGCTCAAAATGTAAATATAAACTGATATAAAATGTAAAACAATAAAACAAAGGGTAAATGGCAAAATTGCATAACGTTTAGATGAAAACAAAGAAGAAAATATGATCTTGGTTTAGGAAAGAGTTCTTAAGATAAATACCACGATCCATATAAGAAAAAAAATGGTGAATTAGACTTTTGCTTTATTAAGATGGCTTAATTCTGGGTTGGGAAGATCCGCTGGAGAAAGAATAGGCTACCCACTCCAGTATTCTTGGGCTTCCCTTGTGGCTCAGCTGGTAAAGAATCCACCTGCAATGTGGCAGACCTGGGTTCAATCCCTGGGTTGAGAAAATCCCCGGAGAAGGGAAAGGCTACCTACTCCAGTATTCTGGCCTGGAGAATTCCATGGACTACACAGTCCATGGGGTCACAAAGTCAGACACGCCTGAGCGACTTTCACTTCACTTCATTAAGCAGTAAAGAATTCACCAGCAGACGCAGGAGACACAGGAGATGCAAGTTCATTTGGTCCTTGGGTCAGGAACATCCCCTGGAGTAGGAAATGGCAACCCACTCCAGTATTCGCGCCTAGAATATTCCATGGACAGAGAAACCAGGCAGGCTACACTCCATGGGGTTGCAAAAGAGTTGGACATGACTGAGTGAGCAAGCACAATTAATAAAGAGACCAGTCAGAGACTAGAAATATAGGACTTGTATCCAGAATATATATATATATTTATATTTATTTATATATACACACACATATATGTATCTTCTTTGGTAAAAAATCTGTTAAAATTTTTTGCCTATTTTTTAAAAATTGTTTTTTTTTTTCCTTAATGCTCAGTATTGAGAGTTTATATATATATAGGAGCCTGACAGGTTACAGTCCATGGGGTTGCAAGAATTGGAATCAACTTAGCAACTAGATCATCATCATCATCATATATATACATATATACATATACTCCCTAGGAGTTTACTCATTTTTAAAAAATAGGCAGAAGATTTTAACAGATACTTCACCAAAGAAGATACATGAGTGGCAAATAAACACAAGAAAAGGTTTCTAACATCACCAGTCATTGTTGTTGTTGTTTGGTCGCTCAGTCCTGTCTGACTTCTTTGCGATCCCATGGACAGTAGCCTGTCAGGCTCCTCTGTCCATGGGATTTCCCAGGCAAGAATACTGGAGTGGGTTACCATTTTTTTCCCCAGGGATCTTCTCAACCCAGGGATCAAAGCCCATGTCTCCCGTGTTGGTGGGCGGATTCTTTACCACCGAGCTACCAGGCAAGCCGCATTAGTCATTACAGACAAGCAATTTAAAGCACAATGAGATACCTTTATATGTCTATTAGAATGATTAAAATTAGGAATAATGACAATTCCAAGTACTAATAAAGATAAGACGAAACAGGAACACTCAGACTCTATGCATGGGAATATAAAATGGCACAGCCACCCTAGAACACCATCTGGCAATGTCTTATAATCTCAGACACACAATTACCAGTGTAACCCAGCAAACTCACTGTTAGTATGTAACCTAGAGAAATGAAAACTAATTTTCGCACAAAAATTTGAACTTGAATGTATACAACAGCATTATTTACAACTGCCTCAGACTAGAAGCATTTAAAAAACCCTTTAATGGTAAAGGAAACACAAATGGGTTAGTACATCCACACAATGAAATACTGCACAGAACCATAAAAGGACAAATTATCGATACACACAACAACTTGAATGGATCTCGAATGAAATAACCCAGCCTCCAAAGGTTACATACTGCATTCTTCCATTTTACAACATTCTAGAGAAGGCAAAAACAACATACGAACAGAAAAAAATTAGTGGTTTCCAGGGGTTAGGCATGGGAAGAGTCAGAATAAAGAGGGGAACTCTTTGGCAGTGCTGAAATTTTTCTTCATCCTGTTTGTTTGTGATGGTTACAAGAATCTATACAAGTAAAAAGCTCACAGTATTATACAATAACGGCTTCCCAGGGGGCTCAGCGGTAAAGAATCCACTTTCAAAGAGGAGAGACACAGGAGTCATGGGTCCAATCCCTGGGTCAGGAAGATCCCCTGGAGAAGAGGACAGCAACCCACTCCAGCATTCTTGCCTGGAGAATCCCATGGACAGGGAAGCCTGGTGGGCTACAGTCCGTGGGGTGGCAACGAGTCAGACATGACTGAGCGACTTAGCACAAGCATTACACAATAAAAAGGAGCATTTTTACTCTATTTTAAGGTAAATGATCACCAGCCCAGGTTGGATGCATGAGACAAGTGCTTGGGGCTGGTGCTCTGGGAAGACCCAGAGGGATCAGGTGGAGAGGGAGGCGGGAGTGGGGACCGGGANTTGTAAAGTAACTAGCCTCAACTAATAAAAATAAATGAAAAAAAAAAAAAGAGAGAACATTTTAGAACACTCTTCTAGGGACTTGGTATAATTTACTTTGGAAGAAAATTCTCAAGATTTTAGAGTACAATAGAATATTTAAATATCACACCAAGTAAAGACTATACAAACCTGCTTATCAAACAGGACCAAATCAAGATGCTTGAAGCAATCAAGTAGCAAAGATCGAGGTGCAAATGTATACAGACTCTCCCATAAATTACAAATATATGTAAGTGCTTATACTTCCTGTCTATCATGCAGGCAGAAATCAGGGGACTATGGGGAACAGGAGAGAAAGGAAGGTGAGGCAAACACCCGAGTGACCACCGAGCCTGTGCCTCAAAGGAAGGCCCGATCATTTTTCAGGTCGAATGACAACCTCAGGGTTAACTTTAACTTAGTTCTGCCCTTAAGCACTATCTAGAATAAAAGACCAATATTCATCAATACCTCCTCAATAGCACCTGCAGAAATCCTGTGACCTGCAACATTTATCACATCATCAACTCGAGACATAACATAAACGTAGCCTTCTTCATCCATGTACCCAGCATCCATGGTGTCATAATACCCCTGAAAATAAGAGTAAATAATGTCTGATTAGCATCTAGTATTAGGTAATGTAATTATTTTTAATCTTGGTAAAATATAAAATATGATAGATTTGCATTTGGCTTTCTCACAACTAGCCTATTGAATTCCATTACTTCTGATTTTGAAAGCTTACTAGTAATAGAATCTCTTTGCTCCCTTGACATTCAGGAATAAATTAAAATGTTCTTATACATGTTGAAGCTAAGCATTTGGACTGAGAGTTTTAAAGTTTACGAACCCTATTTCTTCTCTTAATGGAGAAGTAATAGCTCAATAGTTCCAGTATGCTTTGGTATTGCGAAAGTAGTTCTTTGATAGATTTTCTGGGTTAATTTGTAAAGATGTTAAAGCTCTCTATTAAAAATTACAAAATAGACCACTAATTTTTTTAACATAGATTTGGATTGGACTTGAGCTTCAGTGAAATTATAGCTAAATAGTAAGTATAAAACTTATTTTTTTGTCAACTCAGAGTGGCAGTACAGTTTCAGATGTCACAACAGAATGAAAAATCAAGAAGAATAAGAATTAGAAAGAAAGAAATATTCCTCCCCCTAATGCTTCAGAATTGCATTAATACCTGTATTATGAGCTTGGGCTTCCAGATAAAATTCAGGCAAGTCACTATTTGTGTTTCTTAATCTTCCTAAGAATCAGTATGCTCATCTATTAAATCGGGTAATGGACCATGCCTTATAAGGCTCTGAGAAGCTTAAATGAGATGGAGCGTATAAAGAGGGCAGACTGAGGCACATCATAAATCCTCAATAATCGGCACCTCTCATAGCAATTACTGTAAGAAAGGCAATCTAGAATACAGTTAAGAACATGGGCTCTGGAGCCAGAAATTATGGGTCCAAAATTATGGGGCAGCTCTGTTACTCTAAACAGGACACAAGTTACTCAACCCTTCTGAGCTGTTCAGTTGAAGGGTTGAGGTAACAAGACAGAGTATAGATTCATTATATCTAGTTTAATCATAAACTATGGTTTACCGGGCTTTGAAGGAGCTTTCAATTTTGCTAAAGGTGGTCATGTTGAAAACCACATGCACATATAATGTGTCACTGTCAGGGTGTAATTAATCACATCAGTACTCTGATGATTTGACTGGGGCCCATCAGGCAGATAGATGGGGCTTATTGGCGTCAATTTTACAGACAAATCTTCTCTGCCACAGTCCCTTGGGGCATGCTTAATCTTGGCCACTGAGGTCTTTTAACCCTGAGATGTCTTTCTCAAGTCAGCTATTTTAATTCTTGTCATTTGTCTAGTTGATTAGGTTAGGTGTCCTTCACTCACAAATAATAAGGAGAGAATGCTAAATACTTAGACTCACCTTTGCTTTTTAATGCAATTCTAACCATTCATTCTTTTTTAACCCAGTGTATAATGAGGACCAGGTATTTCTCTAAGGGAAAGAAATAGAGGTGAAAAGATAGCAGCAAGATGAGAGTGGGACCCTTTTGCCTATTATCAATTATGTACTATTATAAACATAAACCACATGACCCTGGCACAGAGTAACAGGTAAATGATAAAGCAGAATGCAAAAAGACACTTTTTGTTATCCAAAGCACTAGAAGTTGGATGTCTTTATCCTGTATTTGTATTTCAAAATAAAGAACTCAGAGGGCACTCAGGAATGAATGCCAATAATAGGCAAAGAGATTTTTTAAAATGTGCAATTTCTGGCAAGCAGAGCAAATGTTCCTCAAATTTTGCTCATACAGAGGAGGTGTGCATGCGTGCTAAGTTGCTTCAGTCGAGTTTGACTCTTTGCAACCCTAGGGACTGTAGCCCATTGGGGCTCCTCTGTCCTTGGGGATTCTCCAGGCAAGAATACTGGAGTGTGTTTCCATGACCTCCTCCAGNTGACTTAGCATGCATCATGCACATGTGTACACACACACACACATATATGCATCTTATATAAGCAAATATATATATATATGTGCATATATATGTGTGTGTGTGTGTGTGTGTGTATAAGACAGAGAGAGAAGGTAGGAAGTTATTTTCAGGTAAGGGATAAAAGTGAAAGCATTAGTCGCTCAGTCGTATCCAACTCTCTGCGACCCCAAGTACTGTAGCCTCTGTTCACAGAATTCTCCGGGCAAGAATACTGGAGTGGGTTATCATTCCCTTCTCCAGGGCATCTCCCAACCCAGGGTTCAAACCTGGGTCCCTTGCATTGTAGGCAGATTCTTTACTGTCTCCCTGGTGGCTCAGATGGTACAAGTAAGGGATGAAAAGGATCTTAACTTAGCCTAATGACTTATCAGTGGGGATGCGTCAGCAGATATGAGGACAGACTCGACAACATTTGACAACTGACTTAATCCCAAGGGCTTTCCTGGTGACTCAGATGGTAAAGAATCTGCCTCCAATGTGGGAGACCTGGGTTTGATCCTTAAATTGGAAGGATCTCCTGGAGGAAGGCATAGCAGCCCACTCCAGTATTCTTGCCTGGAGAATCCCCATGGACAGAGAAGCCAGTCCATGAGATCGCAAAGCCAGACATGATTGAGCAATTAAATGCATACATATGACAAGGGCTCACCTCTATCTGTGCATGCGTGTTTGCTCAGTTAAGTCCGATTCTTTGTGGCCCCATGGGCTTAGTAGCCCGCCAGGCTCCTCTGTCCATGGAGTTTGCCAGGCAAGAATACTGGAGTGGGTTGCCATTTCCCACTCCACAGGATCTTCTAGATCCAGGGATCAAAACTGCTTTTCTTGTGCCTCATGCATCGGCAGGCGGATTTATAACTACTGCACCATCTGCGAAGCCCATGTCTATCTATCTATCTTTACATAAATAAATTCTCATATCAGTGCCCTGTAGAAGTATCACCTATCAAAAATAACCACTCAGTGTACTTTCTGGACACAGAAACTTTTGAGATACTTTATAGTTTGTAAATTTAGATACTGTAAAATGTAAAGATTTTCAAAACCCGACCCTCTGGTACTCACAAAAGACGCCAAGTGAAGCAGTGATTTCACAACGCTGATGTGAGAAAAGGGGAAGTCAAGGAGACACGGTGACTGCCGACATGAGGAACATCACCCACTTCCAACCCCGGTATTAGGCTTCTGAGTCACTGAATTGTATTCTCCCATTCTGCCCGGAGGAAGCACTGTTCCCGGTGGGCTCACATCCAGCTAGGACCGTCCTTTTCCACCACGTCTAGCCTGCCCACAGCTCTTCCCTTGCCAAGTCTCCTTTTTGTACTATTTTAAGATGGAGGAAAATTGTGACCCCAGGGTTTCTGGACCTCGTTATCATTTCATAAAATACACGTGAAAGCATTTTGTAACCTGAAAAATTAAAAGCTACAGAGACGCTGCTGTATTGTTACTGCCGTTACTATTACTGTTCATCGCCAGCTTGCAGGAAGGCAGCAAGCTGAAGCACATCATCCCTTCGTGTCCTTTAACTGACTTTTCTATATGAGGCCATGTTGGAGACAACGGAGCAGGGTGGGTGTGAGGTAAATTTGAATGCACACATTGGGTAGAGGGGGAGCAGTTCTGACTTAGTTCCACCTGATACAGAAATACACAGAACTGATGATCCAAATTCTTAAACACATAACATTGCCCATACGAAGAACAATGCGTACAGACGGACATGTTGTTCAAGTGTCTCATCCATTGTATCTACCCCAAATGTAAGATTTCCAACAACCATGCACTGCCTCCTCCCAGTAAATAGAGACTTCTGAGTGTCTGCAATAATAATCCAAATGAGTTAGTACTTCATGTACAGAATGTGAGCTGCGTTTCCTCAGTTCAGTCGCTCAGTTGTGTCCAACTCTTTGCGACCCAATGGATTGCAGCACGCCAGGCTTCCCTGTCCATCACCAACTTCTGGAGCTTGCTCAGACTCATGTCCATCAAGTCGGTGATGCCATCCAACTATCTCATCCTCTGTAATCCTCTTCTCCTCCTGTCTTCAATCTTCCCAGCATCAGGGTCTTTTCCGATGAGTCAGCTCTTTGCATCAGGTGGCCAAAGTATTGGAGTTTCAGTTTCAGCATCAGTCCTTCCAATGAATATTCAGGACTAATTTCCTTTAGGATGGACTCGATGGATCTCCTTGCAGTCCAAGGGACTCTCAAGAGTCTTCTCTAACACCACAATTCAAAGCATTAGTTCTTCAGTGCTCAGCTTTCTTTATAGTCCAACTCTCACATCCATACATGACTACTGGAAAAACCATAGCTTTGACTTGACGGACCTTTGTTGGCAAATGAATGTCTCTGCTTTTTAATATGCTGTCTAGGTTGGTTACACCTTTCCTTCCAAGGAGTAAGCGTCTTTCAATTTCATGGCCATAATCACCACCTGCAGTGATTTTGGAGACCCAAAAAATAAAGTATGACACTATTTCCACTGTTTCCCCANAAAAAAAAAAAAAAAAAAAGACCATGAAGAAAAACAAGAAAATCAGAGTTGTATGAGAACCAGGAGACACTAGTATGTGAAGAGCCTCCCAAGCAGAGTTTTAGTAATACTGAGTGTTCAACAAGGTCAAGTGAAGGGCAAATTATTTTCCAAGTGGATTCAACAGAGGTCATGGAACTCAGTGACTAAGATATTGTGAATCACCCCCACGATCGCCATTTCTGCAGAGGGGAGCTGAAATGACTGCAGTGATCAGGGCCTAATCAGGAAAGTGCAGACAGTAAGTTTAGACTCTACTTTTGAAAAGTTTGTGGGTGACTGGAAGGAGAGAAGCAAACTGGGGTTTAATGCAGAGAGACAGGCTGGTTTAAGATGTGAAATACTTAAGCAGAAGTAGCCAGTGGAGAGAGGGTGGAGATTTGAGAGTTAGAGAAGAAAACACCAGAAGAATTCTTTGATCATTTAATTAATTTATTCATTCATGCACACATTAACTCAGGCATTTATTTTCTGCATTCAATCAAGTATTTGTGGAGTGTTTGGCATTCCTCAGTCACTGTAGGAAATAC